GTGTGTGTGTATCTTTGGGGGAAGGGTATGAGTTTGCTTGTGCATCTTGGTTGAATGCTTACAGTGTTGAACTGTGACACCCAGTCAGATCCAGACACTTGTTTTTGTTTAATAAGCTTCTTTCTCCATTTTCCCTCCTCACAACTGTTCTGTTCAAGGGCACTAAGCAGCAAGCACACACACACACACACACACACACACACACAAACACACACACACACACACACACACACACACACACACACACACACACACACACACACAAATACAAGCCAAACTAGAGACCTTGAGAAATCAGAAATAACACGCTGTACAAACCATGAACAAATACAGCTTGCCGTCACACATTTTAAAACTTTGGCACAAACGTCTCAGATATATCTGAATTCATGGATGAAGATCTACTAACATTCACAATAAACCGTGTAGAAATGTCTCTAAATGTGCATTTCCTGACCCCTTTGTGCCTAGCACTTTAAACATTCCTTCTGACAAGCACACACACACACACACGCACACGTGCACACACATGCATGCAGAGCTGTCACACAGTGGTTGGTCACAGGAGGGTATATTAGACTGGAGTCCTAGAAGTTGAGACTACAGCATTCCAGCAATCGTAACTGCAGTTTAGATAAATGTGGTCAAAGACCAGCTTCTGCTGTGACAGCCGACCTCATGACAATGCTGCCAAAAGGCTGATATATTTAAAAGATATCCACTACTTCTGCACTATAGTTTGGGTTCAATTGAATTGTGAACATCTACTGTGGACATTTAGGTGTTTTGTAAAACCATCTGGTTGCTGCAGTGCGACAGAGTTGTATGAGTGCATGAATTTGGATTCATTTCCTAGCTGGAAGTTATTGCTTGCAAAAATTTGTCACTGTTGCAATTCTCAAGTGGTTCAACAACATACGTAGTTGCATGAATCCAAAGTGTGTTTTACTAGGTTTAGGCTGAGAAATGTTCTGTTTTAGAAAGTTTTACAGTTTTTTTCCCTCTCACAACGTTTTCACTGCTGCTCATCATCAGCAGAGGAAAACTGCCAAATTCATCAGCAAAGACACAGTGTCTGTGAGCCTCAACTCCCCAGGTGATTGTTTGTGATGACACCATTCACAGCTCCAGCACAAGCCGTGTGTGCAGAACAAACACGGGAAAAGACAGAAGTGTGGAAGCAACTGCAGATTCAGTTCAGTTAAAAATGATCACGACCAGCAGGAGATGGTGGAGAGGAAAAGGAGGAGAAGAGGGTATGTTTCAGACTTGTGGGTGGACAGTTGTCAAGGCCCACCGATCAGTGATCTGACCAGCAGTTAAGGGCTTGTTCTAAGGGGGGGGGGGGGGGGGGGGGGAGCAAGCATGCTGATGGTGAAGGGAACCCACTTACACCCAAAACTCACTCCAACTATCAGACATCACACAATGACAGAGGGCTTCTTTGACATTAATGAACTCAGCATCCAGCATGAATCATTCACCCTTCAGCACACACGCGCGCACACACACACACACACACACACATGAATCCATGATGAGGTGAAGCCCTCGTGGCAGAATCATTTTCTGTCTCTGGCTCATATTTATAACCTTCTCTATCAGTCAGCCCCCGGAGCATGTGACACCATCCTCTGACCACCAAACTGCCCCCCAGCCATACATCATTATAGGACGAGTGTGTGTAGTTATGCATGTGTCTTTGTGTTTTATGGGTTTTTGTTATGTTTGTGGTTTTGTGTTATAACCCGTGTTCTTATTCTCCTGTTTGTACTTTAGGGCTCCTGGTTTAGTTCTGTTGATTTTCTTTGTTTGGATTCACTTCAGATTTCTTTGTCTTTTTTACATTTAGGGTTTCCTCCACTGATTTCCAGGACCCCCCAGCTGGGTTTTGCTCCCTGCTCACCAGGATTCTGTTTATCAATTAGTACTCCTTTGTTACCCGTTGCCTCCCTATGTTTTGCGGTCTTGCTGTGGTATTTTATATCTTTATCAGTCAGTGAAATGTCAAACAAAGTTTTTTTCTAGCATCATCCTTTAAAACATGTTTGTTTTTGTTGATACAGTTGTGTCCCTCCTCGTGCTCTCCCATCCTTCCTATCAGACGTATTTGGGTTCTCTCACACCACACTGACAGTGTGGATCTTATGAATAGATATATGTGGTTCGGTGGAAGTCTGTGCTAAGTAAATATTAAAGGTTCTGGCTGGCTCAATAGAGAAAACATACAGTGTTCGCTGGCTCCTGCCCTGCGGTTTAATCTGAGGTCAGAGAAAGAGACGGAGCAAGGGGAGTGAAGAGGAGAGCGGAGGCTAAATGAAAAAAGACAGAGGTGGAGGACATGAAGGAGGCTGGTAGGAAACAGAGAGGGGCAGTTAAAGAAGAAGAGGATTGCAGAGACGCTGCAGCAGAGGGGGTTGAAAAAGAAACACAGGAGGATGCTCGGGCTTTCTTCTTCTGTCTGCTGCTCTCTGATGAGAGGAGAGATCTATATCCGCTTTGGTCCAAGGTCACGGTAGTTACATGGGTGCAGAGCCATCTCTGTGCCTCGTGCACACACACTCACTGAAGTATGGCTCTGCCGATAACTACAAGCGGCCATTATAGATTAAAGCAATTAAAGTAGATGAGACCTTTGACCCAACATTATACCACAGTCAGGATCTCGTGTGAATCACAAAGCAAGTGTGTGTGTCTAGGTAGCAGGCTTTACATAAAGCATGCTTGCCTCTGCAATAAAACGACTCACCCTCGTGTTGACCTCAAGAAGCGATACACCAATTCCCCTGTTTGCCCTGAGCCCAAATCAATGAAAGACTATATTTTACAAACCACACTAAAGATCTTGTGTCTTCTGCTGCCCTCTTTTTGCTGAAAATCAGCTTTTATGGGTGTGTAATTTACCAAAACTGGAGAGGTCAGATAAGGGATGGAGGAAAGGCACAGAGATCAAAACTCTTCTCGGTGTTAAATAAGGATGACGTTAAAATAATGTATAAATATAAACTCAGGAAATATGTTGTTGCATTGCATTAGAGAGGATGGGGATGTTGTCCAACACAACAAGGAGACCTGTCAGCATCCACCCAGCGATTACATCAGTATGCCCTCAGGGGTGCAGACAAAGGGTGTGTTGGGCTCCCTCTGCTGGTGAGTGAAAACCTCATCCGGCTCTCCTTACTTTATCATTCATGACAACAACCTTTAAAGGTGGGAAAGATGAATGCGCTCACAAATTCCTCTGAAGCCATTTCCGCTATGCACACCAGCGTCGCGACAATTTCAGCTAAAACACCCAATTCTGCAATGTCAGCTCTTCTGGAGCTTCCAAAATCTGCTGCTTGGAGTCTTCAGCTGTGTTTTACCTGTGTTCCTGCTATTGCTTCATCAAAGAGAACATGTTCTTATTCTCCTTTTAATGGAGCCTCACTTCTGCTTGTAGACAGACCCAGAGGGAGGATTTCCCAAAATAACACGGAGCTGCAAGCGCAGAAAACACAACACACACACACACACACACACACACACACACACACACACACACACACACACACACAGGTATAAAGTAGCACCATCTTCCTGCTAAACGTACAGTCACAGCAGTAACTGAAAGGCCAAAAGCTAAAGGCAGGACACAAGTGGCTGACAAAAAGGGCTTTATTGAGTTATCGTCCCTCTGGACGGTGTGCACAAACACTCCACTAACGCCTATGCAAACACAAGAAAGGCCGTGGGGCTTAAAGGTGCAAATTAGACTAATTTTGTGAAACAGACACACTTTTACTGCCCAGTGCATCATCTGACCCAGCATCCACCTCTAAAAACTCCCAAACATTCTCAGCAGCTCACGTGGCTCAGTGCGTTTATCTACATCAACAGGAGTTTCCTTTTGGGCTTCCAGCTACTTTCATCATTCCAGCTCATTCCAATGAATATTTCAGCAGTGTTTAGTCTCCTTCACATTGTATCGTGCAGCTAAAACACATCTCCTCCACTCTGTCTCGTCACCCATTTATCCCCCTCAGCCTTTGTTCCATCCTCCTGATTGTGACATTTATTCGGCCCAATGTATGTACGCCTCCAGACTGCAGAAACAGGAGGTCCAACGGTACCCGATCAGGGAGGAGATGTGCTTCATCTGACTGTAGGTTTGTAAATAAATGCATGTGAGTGTGACTGAGAATACGAGTGAGTGAGAGGTGAAAAGCTTTGTTAAGCTTCAGATCAACACCGACTGAAGCGTTCAGAGAAAACTGAATGAAAATATTCAAAAGATGACAACTCACGGCTGTATCGGCTTCACTCAGCCTCAGCAACACTTAAAAAAAATAACTCAAACAACCCACAAGCTGCTTCACTGACAAGTTGGACTATTTCTGAATAAATTTGCACTTTTCTCCATTTACTGCAAGTTCAAGCTCTCATTAAGCAGCCCAGCTCGCATGTTTCAGGCCAGCATGCAGTCAGGAGTAGTTAGAGAGTAAATGCATTGGCTAATTTCAGCCTGACCATCCATATTAATACAATAACAGAGAGGGGCTCAGCAGCAGCGTGTGACAAATTTTAAGTAATTGCTGCTCCTCATTTGCAGAAGCAATATAGGCTACAGTATGCAGAAGGGGGGAGCAACATTTATCAGTTTAATGATAAATATGTCAACAATTAAGATATTTTTGACAGACATGTCAATGTTATTTTGGCACAATCATTATAAGTTACTTCAAAATAGTAGAAGTAGCGCACAGATTCATCCCAGTCCTCTTTATCTGTCTCTGTGTTCACATAATATAAATGTAATGGCTCAGAGAAGAAAAACGTGACACTTTCTCTCTTTTTTCATCCCCACTTTTCTTTAAGCATCATTCATAACCGAGACGAGCACTTAGCGGTAGTCAGCGCCTCATGCGCTCCGCTCTTTTCCCCGGCCAAAGGGACCGCGGGATGTGGCTTCCCATCCGACGCCGCGGCGCACCACAGTCACCCAAAGCGCCAACTCTCACCTTCATTTTCCGGGTAATTCCGTAAGGCTCCGCACGACGGGAAGACATAGAAAAGCATCAGGGAGGGCAGGAGGGACAGGGTCGGATAGATCCACAGGACGCGCGGTGGTGCCATTTTCAGGCTGCGCTGCGCCCTCGCTGCATCCCTGTTGGCGGTGTGGAGTCAGTGAGCGCAGCCTTGCGATTGAGGAGGGAAGGGGAGAGCAGGGGAGAGGAGAGGAGAGGAGAGAGAGGGGGAGGCGCAGGGAAGGAGGGTCTTCAATCAGCAAAGTCCTGTCAATCAGCGCTCTGGTTCTGGATGGAGAGGTCCATCAGAGGCGTCAGGCTGGAAAACTAACATTATCATTCAATTTAGACTAATTTATAGACTTTTCCCTTCAAAATTAGATCCCCATGTGTTTGAACTGCCATGGTTATTATAAATGAAAGCAAGTCACATAAAAGCATCTAAAATTAAATTAAAAATGTCAGATAAGATAAAAAAAGTTAAAGCTGATTCAGATTCCAGGTTTTCATCACATATAGAACATCCATTCATGAGTCTCCGACTTTTTACATCAGTGGTGCATGACTGGGTGAACTGGATATTCTGACGTTGAACCACATGGTCTCGGCTTTTCCACTAAATACTAAAGATAAATCTAAAGTAATTGAATCAAACTACTTTTTGTTGCTATAAGTCCAAATATTTTAGTTTTTTAGTTGGTGCCAAAATCAGAATTGTCTTGAACTGCCCCTTGGTTGTTCTCTCTGGCCGCAGAGCTCAAAATTCAGCTTCTAATGTTGTAGTTACCTGAGGATCACTGGAGTGATGCTGTGCCAGTGGGACTTGGACCACGACCTGAGAAGCAAATAATTAATAAAACGTTTCAGAATAACACTTGATTCTAGATCAGCACTTTATCATCCTCATCAATTAGCACGACTCAGAGGTTTTAGGTCCAGACAAGACCTAGAAAATCATTCACGTGTTCATCTGGACAGTTGCAATGGTCTTCTGTCTGGTCTTAGCTGCAACTGCAGCTCATTCAGAATGCTGCTGCTAGTCTTAACAAGAACCAAGAAAACCTGTTCTTAAATCTCTACACCAGTTACCAGAAAACTACAGGAACAATTTCAAAGTTTATACAAATCACTCAATACATGTCTGATCTCCCTACACCCAGTAGGGCTCTGAGACCCTCAGGAAGCAGTCAGCTGGTTAACGCAGATGGGAGGAAATCAGCTTCCTTATGATCTCAAAGAGCCCGAACTCTAGCAAGTTTTAAATAAAAATGAAAAAGTTTCATTTATTCAGCCTTTGAATGAATGTCATGCTGCACATTCTGCACTGTAACTGCTCACCCTTTAACTTAGCCTTTTATCCTATTCTTACATGTAATTTTATTTGTATATTTTAATTCTAACTTTAAAATCTGCTGTCTTTTGTTGTCACATTGACTTTAATGTTTATGCTGTTCTTGCTCCTGGAAAGCACATTGACTTGCCTCTGTGTAAGAAATGTGCTATACAAGTAAAGCAAGCTTGCCTTGCATAAATACAATCTTCAAAATGTTGTATATCATTTATTAATTTAAGTAAATGTGAACAAAACAGAAAAACGACACTCACCGAGAGCGTTTTTCTATTCATTTTGGGCAATAAGGGTTTCCAGAGGATGTTAAAGGCCGTGTGTCTGAAATCCGTTGAAATCATGACAAAAACGTGAATCTTTAGCGCCATGCAGTTCGGAGAAAGCATTGCAGCTACGGTGGCCCACTCATGAATTTGATAGTATAATAAGTTTCCAATCTCTCTAGCCTAACCCACACAAAGCATATAAATACTCAACTAGTTAAAAAAAGCATTTGTAATTATGACTGTTTTATCAACCTACCAGTCCTGAAGGAAGCAAGCTAGTTCTGTTACACTTTGAAGCTGTCACAATTCACACACGGAGGACGGGTGACGTCAGCTGGGAGGTCAGGTGTTTTGAGAAATTGTGTTCCCCTGAAATAGTCTGTCCCCCGTGTCGGGAAATCGTTCTTCAGGCTATTTTCTCAACATTTGTAATCAAATTTTACGGGAAAATGATAATGTTTAGTTTTCATATCTATGTGTCCTCCATAAAACAATAAAAAAGGTACAGTAAAAGCATTCCTGCTCACTCTTTTCAAGCTTATTTATCATTTTTGAGTTCAGTTAAACCATCTTTTATTCGAGTTTGTTCTGTGCATTTAGAAATATTTGGAATATTTGCTCTTGATTGCCTAAGGCAGGAATGGGGAATCATGGTCCTCGAGGGCCGGTATCCTGCACGTCTTTGCTCCAACACTTCTGATTCCGTGGTTAATTCACCTGTTCTGCAGCTCATCAAGCTCTGCAGATGCTTGTTAATCACCTGCTGATTGAAATCAGGTGTGATGATGCAGGGTTGAAACTAAAATATGCTGGATAGCGGCCCTCGATGGACCAGGGTTCCCCAGCCCTGGCCTAAGGGAAACAGAATATTACAGGGGAACATACTTTCCCACAACACCTGTTTCACGTGGATGAGAGTAGCTTTGTAAACAAGCTTGCTACCAGCTAATGGATCTGGAAAAAGAAAGAAAGCTATCTTTTATGGAGCGATCACTGGCAGAGCCATGGTAGGTGAAGGAGGGTTAGCGGGCCGGGGACACACCGTGGAGATCAAGTACGCAATGCTGATCGAGCACAGGAGTGTGTTGGGAGAGATGACAGGCTGCAAGAATGAACAGAACGAACGCACGAAAGAGAGGAGAATTGAGTTGAAAGACTTTGGAACTGACACGTTGGGACTGGGTCGGGAGTTCTGGTATGAAGCAAAGACGAATTAGCAACTTGAGGTGAGTTTGGGAGTCAGGGGGACACCACTCGAAGTTTGGTATCCAGCTAATAGCGGGCAGGGATCTTAACATGTGCGGCTTCCTAATGTTGGACATGATGACGACCTGTCAGATTTCATGTGTTTTTTATACCGTTGTTTATTATTCAAACTAATAAGTACAGCAACGGTGTAGCTAGTCTCTTCTCTTAATTGAATTAGCAGACTCCATGCCAACCAAAATGGTGGATGACCAAGGAGCGTCAACCAGAATTGATGTTTTTAAAAAGGTTAAATTTCAAGCTGAGATGAATATTTAGAAATGATGTCGGTGATAAATATTAACAAAAAAGGACAAGTTTGTGAAATGGAAACAGGATTTAGAGTAAACAGGTAAAAATATTACACACTGGGAGTCTCATTTATCGAGCTTGCTTACGCACAAAACGGGGTCGGAAAACTGCATAAGGAACTTTCCACGCAAACTTTGGGATTCATAAAAAAAATGTAGCAGAAAAATGTGCACAACTTTAAGTTGACCAAGGACCTGGCTTACGCACATTTTGGACATGGAGAGCACCTGCAGTGCTGCTGCTGAGAAGATACAATTATGAAATCCTGCAGCAATATCACTTGTACTGCTTTGTGCACACACAGAACAAGACCCCCCCCCCCCCCCCCCCCCACCCACACACACACACACACACACACACACACACACACACACACAGCCTGAAGCGCAGAATCTTGTCACTGTGACCCGATTGATCATGCGCCCTGGCTACTTGATTAAGAGAGATGTCCCTTTGGCTGACTGGTTAGCGTGCGTGACTCTCACCTGGGAGTCTGGGGATCGGATCCTACCTGGGCCCTTGTCTCTCCACCCTGCCACACATCATTTATAGAACCAACACAGAAGGCATGATTTTCGTCTTTTATTTTCTTGCCAATTCTTTAAGTGTTCCTGAAATGTCGGTCAGGACATCACATATTCTGTGCAGTTCTTCCCTCATTTCGTTCACCGCACTAGTCATGTTCCTCTGTGCCTGCAGGACAGCGTCAGTTAGCACCCGGCCATTTCCAGGTGCGCCATGCACCCGAGGCGCACTGGTGAGACAGTTCGACCCTGCAGCCACATCTTCATTCGCCGCCCGGGATGCCTCGTTGGACGCTTCGTCCAGAGTCACTGGGGGGAAACAGCGAGATTTGGTTTTGTTTCATCTTTTAATGATGGACACATTTGATCTGCATTAATAAAAGGCTTAAACATTACCAGTCTCCTCTGCACGGTCAGTGTCTCCCTCATTCTCCGGCACGATGCCACGCACGCTTGCCGGTCCGAGTACTGTTGAGATCCTAACGGCGAACGGTGAGGGATCAGAGGCGCCAGGGCCTCCACCAGTGGCAGACACACTCTGGTGGTGGCAAAACATCTTTTTTTTAGCCTCCACCTTCAGGTCGGACCATTTTTTAAAATTTCTGCCACAGATCTCTCTGAAGAACTCACAGCATTGACGGCTTCAGCAACGCTGTGCCACTCCGTGGATTTTCTCTTATTTGTTTTGCAAAAGTACTTCCTTTCATTTTTCCTCCTCACCCACAAGTACCTCAGTTTCTGCTTCGGTAAAATTGCGCTTCCTTGATCTGCGGTCGCTATCGTTAATGGTGGAGCGCTGCAATGAGCTGGCTTATGTATATGCATGAGATCCACAAGGCGCTTTGCATTGACCATTTATGGCAGAAAGTGGGCGTGGTGAGGGTGGGATGTGATCCAGAAACACCTGAGAACCTTTCTAGGTTTGTGATTTATAAAGCGGAGATTGCGTGAAGCTGTGCGTACTCCATGATTTTTAGGTCACAAACTTACTTGGCCTAAGTAATTTTTTTTGCTGAGCGTAAGTTCGGTTTTAGTAAGGATTCTACGCAATGTTTTATAAATGAGACCCCGGGGCTTTAAGTATTAGTATGTATATTAAGGTAAAAATATTTTAACTTCTCATCCAAACATTTGTATTTTTTAACACTTTGTTTTGTCCCGAAGTTTTTTTTTCTCTAATGATTGACCTGCCAGTTAAAGGGATCCAGAAAACTAACGTAAAAAAAAAATTGCTTGTTTTCTTGTCTTGTGGTGAAAGCCTGCAGCACACCAAAAATAAAATCTAATCCACTAAACCAGCTGTCTCATTTATAATCCAGTGGTTTGGGATCTACAGGCTAACACCAAGACAAACAATCCCAACTCACTTTAGAAAACACTGTCAATTATTTTGATAAGTGACACGACTCATGGCAATTACAGCCTGGCTTGCCTCCCGCTCTCCTCCATTTCTTGCCTGTTGTTGATGCCGTTACTCTGGAGAACCAACAGCTGCACACAACGTTGACACGCACAGCAAATTTCAATCCAACTCTTTATGGAGATTTATTCAGCCCGTGTTACATGTACGTGTGGGCT